GTGTGTGTATATATATATATATATATATATATATATATATATATATATATATATATATATATATATATATATATATATATATATATATATACATTTGGCTACATTTGAAAAATAAACCTACCGAAGAGATCCGTAATATCTTCTGAAGTAGGATTGGCCAACTTGACCCCAAATGTTGACTTGCTCTTTTCATTTTTATAACAAGTATTGCTCTCTGGTAGCAAAACATCGCTAGACTCATTGGTCTCTAGTCGATCGTTTCCTTTTCGCTTGTTATTCACCACCCAGCACAGTAAGATTATCAACAAGATATCCGAAGCGCATAGATCGTGAGCGTGTTTGCTAGAGTACAGTGACAAGAACTTGGCACCTACGAGAATCAGTACATGCAGATTGGCAAACTCGGACTGTGTTCTGAGCTTGTCGCAGGCATCGTGCAAGACTTTGAGAATCGAGGAAGCGACTTCCGAATTGACGGATAGCTGCTCTACCGCCTCTGTCAGCACACTCTGTTCACTGCCTCTCAAGTGACACCATGCATCCAGTAGTGAAGACACTAGACAGGCTCTCTGCCGGTTGGTCTTTAATCTGTAACAGAAAAGAAGGATAGACAGAGATTTATTTTGCATTACTTGTTTATATTACAAATACCAACACTGCAATATCTGGACCACAGACATGTCGCACAATGGACACACATACTCCTGCTGTACGCCTCATCAGTTCCATATCCTCCATTGCAATGTACACAAAGGTGTGGCCAATGTATTCGTCAAACACCATGTTGGTGCCATCCTGGCACTTCATAGAGGTATAAGAGTTACCAAATTGTGAAGTCATTACACGCTGCGAGGTGACGATGGGTGAAAAAAGTTGCATTATCACGTTGGGACTAGGTGTGGAATCTGTTGTGCCGATATCCTGACAGATGGAAGTTTGTGATTACTCTCGCATTCATGTCATTTGCCAATATATATAATAACATATATGATGTACGTTTCAGGAACTTGGTACTATCTAACAAATATCAGATCGTAATATTAAATGTCTGTCTTAATAAGTATAAAAATTTTTTACCGCGCATGCAGTCTCGCGTGAAACTGTGCGTTCCTGTCACGTTCACTGATTCAATTACTTTGCACGACATAAATTTCTCATCGTATCGCAAATAGTCGATCATTAGTTATCACGATTTAATAATCGAACCTCATTTTCATCAAGGAGTCCTTGTGTCCTTGCCAATCTCCGAATGTGGTCCGCGAAATCTTTGTCGCATTTTGAGAACAACACATCGTTGAGCTGATTAAATATCAATATGCCTCTCATCTCGTCCGCGATCCAATGTCATCCACTCAAAAGCTCACCCGATCCTACACTCACGCGATTATGTAAACATAAACACTTTCTCGGTTCATACGTCAAATTGATCTGTTCTTTTCAGCTGTACTGCTGAACTAGTGCAATAAGTTAGAGTGAGAAAAAATATACTTGTCTCACTTTAACTTATTGCACTAGCTCAGCAGTGCAGCTGAAAAGAACAAACCACGTTATTTGTGCTAAAGAACCTCGCGTGTTGCGCGATAATAGGTGTTTTCCAATTGCTTAACACACTTGACACACACGTACACAAAATCAGTTTATTGGTCACATGTTATCTAAGATATCTTGTAAGATAATATGCAACCAATAAACTGATTTTGTGTAACACAGTGTATACTCGTGGCTAAAAGGTTGTGCACCGATTTTTTGTAGATTTCGGAATGCGTCACAACTTCAGGAGAGAGACGACCACTGCTTGACACGCCAGCGCCGCCACTTATTATGACAGCAGAAGGATGTTATACATTATGTATATACGGGATGTTTTCCAGTTGCAATATCCCTAGACACTTTCGTTCACACGCAGACACAAATTGCATTCCAAATGTTGTAATCGTCGACACAACACTACACATCCATGCTCAGCTCGAGAACTACTAGTCGTCTGTGTAAACTAGTGTTTTCTAGTGATAATTAAAGATAATAAGCATTACGGCTTTACGGAGAAAAGATTGATATTTGCGACGTGAAGTGTACAATATCTTATTTTTTGAAGATAGAAAAAGTATGGACAACAAAATACCAAGGCATAGGCATAGTGTTGAAAAATAATCCTAACCTTACTCGACATACGTACACATTAGTATACACTTTGTTCCAATCGAGTCGTGTACATACAACGTTACACTTGGTACATTTCTGTGTACGTATGTGTCAAGATGTGTTAAGCAATTGGAAAGCACCCACAAGTATCATCCTATCACTAGGTGCTTTCCAATTGCTTAACACATCTTGACACATACGTACACAAAACCAGTTTATTGATCGCATATTATCTAAAATATCTTGTAGGATAATATACAACCAATAAACTGGTTTTGTGTAATACACAAAACGTAACTGGAAAGCACCCTTTGTTACTCACTAAATGTGGAACAAAGATAGAATGATGTTTGTGTCAACTTGTGTCTTTTGTTGGAAAGCAACCAGAATGGACTGCTAAATGAGATGGTAGGAACAGATGTAGAGTGAGAGGCAGACAATAGTAAGACACCTTCCGTCTCTTTTCCAAGTAGGAGCGTAGCGCATCGTAACAGAACCTTAATCATACTGATAATTTATAATAATGTTTCAAAGAATTACTTGTGATTTTAGTCTAATGTAACATTTTTAATATTTAAAACAAAACCTTATATCTAGACTATTAAATAGGTATAGTTTAGTTAAGGATTGTTTGGTCGGAAAAATACCGTCCGCCATCTTTGAAAGGACTTCACATACGTGACCTGAGTGGCAATGTATGAGTGGGAGGAAGCAACATGCTATAGGACGTGTCATTACTACTCCTATACACAGATGTCTATACTAAACTAGATTGCTAACAAGGGCTTCGAACGTGTGTCGCGTAAGGTTTCCGATTGCATGCGAGAAAATGGCGGCGGTTTTATGTGAGTAACGTTGTGTGTGTGTGACGTGTTACTTGTGTGAGTTACAATGTACTTACAATGTACAACGTGAGTCAGCGTGGCCATTAAATTACTGTCGTAAAACCAAAAATGCCAGCATTTTATTGAATCAAAAATATCGTAACAAAAAGATGGTATTGGACATTATTTGCTCTGCTCATTTTCAATAAAAGAATTTTACGACTAAACATAGGCTGCGTTCAGAAAACATAGCTGATCAATGAGCGGTCAGTGATTATTGGTCCTTACTGTTAGATCTTTAACTTTAGACCAATTATATTGACGAATTGCTCAACTGTTGTGCAACTGTTGAGTTCGCTGAATGCACCCATAGTGAAAATATATGGCGGTAGCGGCCATTTTCTCGCATGCACCGGAAACTCTATCGGACACAAGCCGTTATATGCTTTTAGACTAGATAGCTTGTTAGCAATCTAGTTTAGTATATAGCCCAGCAAATACAGAATATAACTATTATATAACATAAAAGTAACACATAATATAATGGATGTTATACGTCATTAATGTTAAAGTTACATAATTTTCTTTTATAACTGCAATCTAACTGTGTTTTAGAACTGTTATAATTCTCTGTTATTTACAGGTTATAATTATCCGATGAAAAATTTTTCATGCATAATTATATATGAATATTGTCCATACATAATTATGTATAATTATATATAATCATATAAAATTATATATAATTATATACAATTATGTATAACAATATATATAATTACATATAAATCTATACGTAATTATGTAAAATTATATATGAATTTATATACCCAGATAGCCAAACCTGTGCGAGCAGATTTTACGCAGAGTCTGTCAACAGTATCTGTTGACAGAATGGCAACAGACTGCACACAGAAACTGTTTTAGCAGTCTCTGACGACAGATTGGTGACAGACTGCGCGCAGAGCCTGTCGACAGATTCTGACGACAGACTGACGGCAGATTGCGCGCAGATTCTGTTTCCTAGATAGGCTATTTAATTCTATTAAGGGCCATATGTACGTTATTAAATGGGGCAGTTTCACATACACACCATGCTGCAGAGAAGTCAAGATAATTATATTGTGCAATAATTGTACACATATACACAATAAAAAACAATGTTTATATTTTAAAATTGTATTACACATTTTTTATAAAAAAACAACAATAATAGAGAAATAACGAGTACAAGTATAGAATAGTACAACGGTTAAATGGCCATTTAAAGGCGTACACATGTCATTCCTGGTAAAAATTGTTCTCATAATTTTTCATACAATTTCTCATCTTATTATTTTTTTAAATGTTGTTATGTCATTAAATCCGATTTAACCGTCATGCAATAAGTATTGAAGGCAGCAGCACCGAATAAAATATTAGTCTCGCTATGTAAATAACTTTTACAGAATTTTTTTGATGGTTTATTTAAAAATATATCATGCTTCGATTTTGATAAAACTTAATACAATCTGAACGGGACGATCGACCAAATTAATTCGCACATGTAAAAGTACAGTATTTTATTAACATGATAGAAAAATGTCATTATCTGCTGTTTTATTGCAGTAATTTTCTATACATTCCTTGGTAGAAAATTAATTTCGAATTATCGTACCAGTCTCTCTTACATTATTTATACGCTAAACGGTTTCGTCTATATTTTGCGGCTTAAAAGGCGAACAAACTATAATATTTTTCTTCCTTAAACTTTAAATGGACAATACAAACCGCTTTTTATCAAGTGAGGAATTGGCGTATTGTCTAAGGCGACGGACGATTATCCAAAAGATGTCTTCAGTTCAAATTCGAATCTCACTAGAGAAAATATTAAAAATTATGAAAAAATAATGTAGAAAAATTTTTTTTGTCATAGTATTTTATGAGTATTTATGAGAAAGCGCTTATTCTATGAGTAATTATGAAAAATTATGAGAAAATTTAATTAAAGAACCTACGAAACGACAGGATCTGCGCGCAATCTGCAGCCAATCTGCTGTCATAGTCTGTCGACAGGCTCTGCGCGCAATCTGCCGCCAATCTGTCGTCAGAGTCTGTTCGCAGACCCTGTCAACAATCCGGCAGCAGATTGGGGACGCAGATGTCTATGGATCTGTCGACAGATCCTGCTCGGATTCGACAGATCCTGTCGACAGTCTGACGTCAGTCTGCGCACAGATTGCTTACTGGGTATATAATTATACATGATTACATATATAAGTAGAATTATATGAATATGAATGGACAAATTTGATACATAAGAATATATAATTATGTATAATTATATATAATTTTATATAATTATGTATGAAAAATTTTTCATTGGGTATATAACACCAACATAACTAAAATATAATATATAACAAGCGTTTATTTTCATTACATCTATGTTATATAGCATTCTTATATCTAAGGATCGGATCATTTATTAGATGGCTTCCGTTTTCTCGTACATAAAATATGATACATTAATATCCCACACAGCACGTAATATTATATAATATCACAGTAATATTTCCGTAATATTGTAATATCGCAGAAATATTATTGAAATATTACTGTGATATTATATATATTACCTGCTGTGTGGGATATATAAGAACGATGATCACACACAAGACCGCACAACTTGTACTGTGGAGTTCACTTTTATAGTAAAAAGAAGTGATATACTTTTTGATAACGAAAATTACTATTACAATAATAATCCTTTCCATTTGAATATGTACAGAAAGAGGAAAATAAATAAATGAAAATAACTCCAATAGCATAAAATGCCTGAGAACATATTAGGACACTAGACGCCTAGAATAGCTCTAGGATGATTCTGGAATATCTTGTGTTATTTGACAGCTAATTAATTTAGAATGGCAAGATACTTTTATGTTATTACTTTTAGTAAAAATATTTTTGATACAAAATATATAATTGTAATATTTTTTACAAATTAAGTGATATATGAGTAATAGCGTATGATCTCTGCGTACAATTAAATACCTATAATTGCTGAGAAATAATTTATATTCCAGCTATATAACATTTCAGCAATATATATAACAGCTATATAACATTTTAGTAACATGTTATGTTTCTGTTATACAGTTGCAATATCGTTTGAAAGTGGGAAATTACAACTAACGTGTATGTTACATGTAACAAACATGTTATATTGCATA